GGATTTCCTCTCTCCTATAATGTGACCTGATATGTACCGGTACGACATGCGTTACTATCGCAAACATTTAAATGAAAAAATAGGTATTCTGATATTAGGTTAGTTACATATGATACATGGACTTTAATGTTGATATTAATGTCCTCTATAAGACTTAATACACCCCTTTGGCTCTATTGTCCATAATTTCCACAGCGTAATCAATACCAATAATATAAGGAGTTTTTTTGGTGGTTTTTTACACATCGGGTTGTCATTACCTAAAGGAGATTTTTTTTGAGGTCGGAAAATCATCCAATCACTTCTCCCGCCTTGGGTTAGGTGAGAGGGAGTGACAGATTCTTACTGACTAAAATCCACTCCGTTCCTACTCCTGCTCGTCGAGCCGGAGCCCCGTCAACTCGTTAGGCCTCCCGCGGCACCGTATCGAGCATCAGCCCTACTGGGCTCCATCTATGATGGTGTCATGGCTCTGTAAGGCGCGCGCAGTATGCACGGGACTGGTTCTGGTCGGGTGGCGAGCTACCCTTGCTCTTCGTCTACAGACCCGCACTTACGGTGGCCTGTGGTCGGCCGATCTCCGACGCCCAGAGTGTCTCCCGCGACGGCTGGGGCGTGAGGAAGTTCGTTCCCTCACGCGCTCCGCTTTCTCCTTGGCAAGCATAACTGCTTCGCAGAATGATGCGACTGCATCCCAATCCCCCTCGCTCCATGGCCTGAACCAGAGCCGAACGCGAGAGGTCACCGTTTCCTACATCCCTGAGAACACGGCGGTGCTCAGCCCATGCAAGGTACACCGCCACGATATGCTCCACCGTGTTCTCCGGGCGGTCCTCGCATTGATGGCCTCTCTAAAGCCACTTTTAAAGAGGGGACTTTCCGCTGCAATGACAGCGAGCCCAGCCCTCGGTTACCTAAAGGAGTGTTTCGCTGTGTAAGTGAGGTTACCGGAGGCCCAATTACCCCTCCCTCAGCCCCCCCAATCCCTGACAATCCTCAAATTACCAATTCCCAAAAGACCGGTAACGCACTTCTAGCACTTCTGGTGTTACAGGTGTCCATGGGCGGCGCAGATTGCTTACCATCAGGTGATCCGTCTGCTCGTTTACCGGCTTATGCCATAAAAAAACAGCAAACTATCATAGTGAATTTGGCCTTGACGGTCTAAAATGAAAAGGACTAATATTATTTTTTAGCTATGTGCATTTAGCTAGTTTTTTTGATATACATATAAAAAATACGAATTCAAGTAAACTGAAAATATTTTATTCGTGGTTTTATCTCCTTAGACTGCTGTCAACCTCTTTGCATACCTTAATATTAATACCATAGTATAAAAAAAATCTATGACACATTGACTTTGTAAACTCACTTGTCACACAAATCTCAGATGACTTAAGAAATGTAGAGGTATACTAATAATATAAATTTGTATGTGCTTGTTTGTTTGTTTGTCCGTATTTCACGACAGAACGGAGTCAGGAAGGTTTTTGATTTGAGATAGTTGAAAAGATGGAGAGTATCATAGGCTACTTTTTGTCTTTTTCTAACCCCCTTCCACTTCCGTGAAACAGAGGTGAAAGTTTGTATGGGGTATTTTGCAATTTTCAATGTGGAAAGCTAACAATTGGTATGCGGGTTATTTGTGACCAGCATAGAATCGTGCATCATTTCATTTTTTTATTGTAAATCCTTCCCTCACCCCATTAAAAGAACGCGAGAGAAGCCGCAGACAGAGGCTAGTCTATGAATAAATTGTATTCAGTCAATTGAATTCGTATTTTGTCTTTAAAATCTCTGATGCAGCTGAATACTAATATTATTCCTTGAAAACCCACAGAACTTCATTTTTATATGTTGATGCCAAAATATATTATGGAAGTAGGACGCCATAACAATTACAAATCATCAGGTTGGTTACCATAGTAATGTTACCTGTCAGATATCCGTTTTCAGGTTTTCAGATAAATCGTAATAAATAATTTGAACTTTATGCAGCGGTAATAAATTACAAATTGACTCTCCATTTTATTTAGAAAACGTTTGTATGGGAAATAGAAAAATGCTGTTTTGAGGATTTTCCCGGCAATTATTCGAATTTTTCTCACCTTTTAAACCTTCCCTAGACCTCCACGAATAATTCAAGACCAAGATAAGATAAATCCGTTCAGCCGTTCTCGAGTTTTAGCGAGACTAACGAACAGCAATTGATTTTTATATATATAGATATACCTTTGCATCAGTGATTGTACTCTTCAAACTTACAATCGAACTTCTTTGGTACTCTCTTCTTTTTATTGTACATACTAAGACCAAACATACCTACAAACTCACTATTTTTTCCAATTTAATCAAGGACTTAAACATCAACAACTTAAACATCCTAGGACATCAACAACTCTACTCACTACTCATCATTGTTTAAAATTGCAAAATAGTATGTTTATACTTACATTAGATAATTTATTTTTATTTGTATAGGTTTATTTTAGTATTGTGGTGTGTTTTTACTCTCTGAAATGTACTAATTGTGGAAACCAGTTATTGGTTTTTTATTGTTTACCACATTCTATTTAATCAAATTTTATAGCTATATTTTCCATATTATAATTATATTTTCCAAAACAAAGTAAATAAAATTGAAGTAATCTAATTTTTCTTGTCTATGTTCTTTCATAGCAGAACTGCCAACATAATCGAAAAATGACGTTTGAGTCGGCCATTTTGCAGTTTTTACGGTAACTGCTATACACGTGTTTGGTAGGTTATTTGATAAATTATAATAAAATACTGAAAGTTTCATCATTAGTGTGTTATAAACTGTCTACCTACATTCCAGGTTGCCGAGATGGCAGTTGCAAAGAAACCCGTGGCTAAAAAAGCCCAACTGCACCAGAAGTCTGGTAAGAAGGGAGTCAAAGGTGGCAAAATCCGCGGTAAAGGCATCAAGCGGAAGATCAATCTGAAGTTCATGATCGACTGCACCCATCCAGCTGAAGACAGCATCCTCGATGTAGGCAACTTCGAAAAATATTTGAAGGAGCGTGTCAAAGTTGAGGGCAAAACAAATAACCTGGGCAATCACGTTGTCATCGCCAGGGACAAGACCAAGATCTCCATCAACGCAGGTTAGTGTGTATTCTTCTAATTATACTGCTACATTAGTAGTTTAACTTATTGATATGGTGTCGAAACATGAGTTTGATCTTGTTCCAATCAAAGAAACACATTGTTTTCAAGTGAACTTTTTGTAAAAATTATCCACGTATTTAATCATAAAATTTTTAGTACTTGTAGAAGAGAAATTATAAAAGTCTTCGTATATAGGTATTTACTTATTGTTTAAATTACATGATATTTTGTAAACATAACCTCAGCTCGGCTGCAGCCGTACCCATCACTGTGAAATCTCATTGACCCAGCTCTATAAGTAGAAGACATGTGAATTTGATTTTGTGTTATAGATAACTTCTAGTTCACCTAAAACTTTCATTTCAAAATCTTTTTCATGTCTGTTACACAATTTTTCCCATACAAATGTTACTGTAATTACGGGATCCTATACAACTGTAATTATGGGATAAGATATGAGGTTCTTCTCATATGTAAAAAGTTCTAATACTTACTAATTAATTTGCAGATATTCCCTTCTCCAAGAGGTACCTGAAATACTTGACCAAGAGGTACCTCAAGAAGAACAACCTCCGTGATTGGCTGCGAGTGGTGGCATCTGCACATGACTCATATGAACTCCGTTACTTCAACATCAATGCTGACAGTGACAATGAAGATAACGAGGATTAAGCTATTGATACAATAAAATAGTAATTTACAAAGCTTTACTTTTATTTGATGATCCCTGATGTTCACATTGCTCTCACCCTTTGGTTACTTACCTACTTATCATGCTTAGGCATTGACACTAATATTCAAGTAAAATTTATCTCTGGGTTACCGAAATGTTACCTAAGAAATTGAACTTGTCACCCAATAGGTACATAATACAAATTATATATAAATACAATACATTCATACAGTAATTTCTACATTCCTTGTTACCTTGCAATGATGTTATAACTAATTTATAACACCACTGGCTACTTTCACGTGGTTATCTCGGTGCCCATTGATCGTAGCGTGATCTTTTTTATAAAAGGAAGGCTTATGCCTACCTCGATATAATTGGACTATGTAGATAGTAGGTGCTACTACTACACTACAGTCAACGCAAAGAATTTTTGACCTGTAGTTCCTGTGATTAGCGGGTTCAAACAAACTTCTTAAAATAAGTATAAGATATATTTCTTCTTGTTTTGGAGATTCCATTTATCAAGGGAGGCTATAAAACACGCTACTATCAATAGGAGCCGAGCAGAGCGGAGGTATACCGTTGACAAATAGGAGAGAATGAGATTATTGTTTAGTGCTTATTTGTAAATTGTAGTAGGTATTTCATTGATCGGTGGAGACGAGTCCTGTTTTTAAAGGTATCGCGTCTCTTTCCATAACATCGATCAATATCTCGTTCGTTAAGTTGCCCATCCTTATCTGTATAAACCAACCCTCGTCTCCCTACATTCTTATGGGCGATAGTGGCAATTTCGAAACTGTTCAATACATTTTTTTATTTTGAGTTTTATTCCAATAGAAATTAGAATCCATTACGATTGCTAAACTGACACAATTGCAAAGAAACTTTCCAATTTGTAAAAAATAAAACTTTCGTGTTAAGTTCCACATACCTGTCTCCACGTTACAACCGCGCAGCCATTTTGTTTTTATAACTTCTGTAAATTGTGTTTTACAAATTCCTGTGTATCATAAGGTCTACTGAACGCAATGAACCTACTTACATCCAGAATAGGGGCAGCCGAGGTAGCTGTACACATTGCTCACCATTTTTGTAAAGGGTTTACATATTTTTGACTTCAAAGTCAAAATACTACAAAGTAATTCACTGCCAGTGATTTTTTTATAAGAAGTGTAAATAAACAAACACATAAATTAATAAGTAACTTTTATTTCTCAAGTTTGGTAAATATGTACATAAATTAATATAAAATCATTATGACTTCATGATTTGTACTACAGCTAGTTTAAGATTCATCACCGCCGTGACTAAGTATTGTCTGAATAATGAGAAATGCGCTAAAAGTATATATTCAACTACATGGTAACAGCTTACTTGCACCGGGAGTAAAGGCAATAGTGATAACCCTAACATTACATTATATCAATAAGGCCGGGGTCCAATCATTTGAGAATTATCTCTATCACTGGTGTTTCATTACTGATATTATCACACGTTTTCACGGTCTGTGGCGTACGGATCATTGATCAGTTCATCGATTTTAGCTAGCTATATATGTAATAAAATTTGATTTCATTCCACTCATTTTATGCTAATACTCAGTAGTTAGTAATAATTGATACTTCATAATGTTCTTGACATAATTAAAGCTTATACATAGAAATACATACTAAATTGATGTTCGTGGCAAACAAAGCCTACTGAATACAATTACCTAACTTTATTCGACCGGCGATATAATACTAAAATCGATGTCGATAACTTTGATATTCCGATATCGATATTCGGTGGCACATTTGTATATAAGAAACGCGGTCGACACGCGTTGGTGATATGTCCACCAGCGACATACAAACGCAGCACGTGATGTTTTTAATTTTGAATGGTACTACACTTCTAAAATTACCCTACTTTTGTGTTCGGGCGTCCAGTGCAAGATAGTATTTATAAAATTGGGAGCGAGCGCGTTCACTTGGAAGCGATTTCCTTCATCCTGTTGAGTGCAGAGCCGGCCTTGAACCAGTCGATCTGCTGTTCGTTCAGTGAGTGGTTGAGCTTGATGCGTTCTGTCTTGCCATCTTGGTGCTTGATCTCGCAATCGACGGGCTGAAAGTATCGACACGTATATTATCAAGAAATCTGATAAAATATAGCAACGTTAATATTCATTACACGTAGATAGGTACATTCGATTCTACATTAAGAAGTAGCTACCTTGCCAGGTGCGAGATCCTTGAGTCCAAGCAGCGAGATTTTGTCGGTGGGCTGGATCTTGTCGTAGTCGGCGGCGTTGGCAAATGTCAGCGGCAATAGACCCTGCTTCTTCAAGTTGGTCTCGTGAATCCTGGAAAAAATCATAGCGTCGCGTTGTAAACACTAGTAATGTTTGTACTGTGGTGTTAATGTTATTCTTACTTATAACAGTGTTGTTACCTAGCGAATGACTTGACAATGATGGCCCTGCCACCGAGGTGCCTGGGTTCGAGCGCGGCGTGCTCGCGGGAGGAGCCCTCGCCGTAGTTCTCGTCTCCGACGACGACCCACTTGATGCCGGCCGCCTTGTACGCGCGCGCCGTGGCGGGCACTGCGCCCCACTCGCCTGTCTTCTGGTTGCGGACCTTGTTCAGCTCACCGTTCTCAGCGTTTGTGGCGCTACACAATAAAATTCATTATTGATTATTGTTGTTACAAGCATCACACAAAGGTTGCACCTTTGTTATACTTCTGTAGCATCCATTTTAATATTCACGCAGCTTATCTTAGTATTTCTAATTACAATACAGTAATCACTTTCATTACTTTTAATAATCAGCTATCGGCGTCATTATGAAATTACCAGGCGATAACATTACAATGTATAACCACTTACGTAATGAACATGTTGTTGGAGATGTTGTCGAGATGTCCTCTGTACTTGAGCCAGGGTCCAGCAGCGGAGATGTGGTCGGTGGTGCACTTGCCCTTCACCTTGATGAGGATCGTCATCTCGGTGAGGTCCTTGCCGTCCCACTTGTCGAAGGGCGCCAGTAGTTGCAGGCGGTCCGACGTGGGCGCCACGTCTACTTGCACCTCTGTGTAACGACAAAGATAAAATTATAGCTACATTGCCGCACGTCTTATCTTTTTAAGGATAGCGTAACTTTAGGATTTGTAGTCTTATCACATTTATGGCATATTAAAATTATTTTTTAATAAAGCTTAGCTGATGTCAAAAAGTACGTACTGCTGCCGTCACTGGGTGGGTGCTGGTACGTGTCCTGGCCGGGATCGAAACCGCGAGCGGGGAGCTCGTCCGCGAAGGGGTCAGACAGCTTGAACTTCTTGCCGTCACTGCCCGTCAGAGAGTCCGTCAGAGGGTTGAAGTCCAGGCGACCTGTACATATCAACACGGTTATATTAAGACAAGGAATATCTATCTAGTGTTGCACAAGATCATTGTACTTAGGTAAATACAACAAGTCAATTGAAGGTATTGATCATCGTTGACATACGGTACTAGAGAGATAAATACAAACTATATCTTTCTACATGAATTTATTACCAAAAAGGATGTAATCTCACCAGCAAGAGACAGAGCGGTGACGAGCTCGGGGCTGGTGACGAAGCAGTGTGTGGCGGGGTTGGCGTCGTTACGGCCGGTGAAGTTCCTGTTGTATGACGTCACGATCGTGTTCTTCTCGCCCTTCTTCACGTCCTTGCGGTCCCACTGACCGATGCACGGCCCGCACGCGTTAGCCAACACCTATGATACAATATATCACATATTATTATTTGTTTTTCATTTTATAACAAAACTTTAAAGAATATAATTATATTCTAAGGCAAAGATGTAAATTAAAGTTAGACTTTTACGTTTAAAGTTCGTTAACTTCTATTTCAATATCGTATACTCCTTAAAACAATAGCTTAAGAACCGAATTCTTCAATCACTAGAGTTTAAAGTCTTCTGACATTAAATAATTTGTATGATTGTTTAAAATTGTGTCTTTTGTATAATATCAAGAAATTTAAATAATAAAAGCATTGTTAAAACTTTAAACAATAGTAGTTAATGATAGCTATGTTCGTGTTTATTAGTGTCTTTCTCAGTTTGTTCACTTCCTTATACGTCAAACTAACTACTAGTTTAATTCTGTATTAAACAT